TTTCAAAAAATACAGTTACATATTCCTTGTGGTCACATAAACTTTTCCAGTTTCCTCCCAACCTTAAATGTCTTTTAATCTATTTGGGGCATGGGGGGTTTTTCAACAGAAAAAACAGTTGTCTCAGCATTCCTTTAGAACAGGAGAAGAAGAAGAAGAAGAAGAAGAGGAGGAGGAGGAGGAGGAGGAGGAGGAGGAGGAGGAGGAGGAGGAGGAGTTATGAACTGCTTTCCTAGATTTGTCATTGTATTTTTTATTTATCTGATAGGAAAACCCCAATTAGACTTGGGAGGAATGGAACAAGGATGTGGAAGTATATGTCAGACTAGGAGGTTAGACTACTTTCTTACAAAATATATGCTTCTTCTGAAAACTTATGTCTGTGGGATGTCTCTTATACTACATGGTAGTCTTTTCACAGTGGGCCTGCTTCATCAGTTTTTGGAACAGTAATTGCCAAGATAAAATTCAGCCATATAATTATTTCTTGTTGGGCTATTTTTAAAAACCCCATTGTTATAAACTACCTACTTCTATTAATTCTAGCTTTCTGACACATGTAGGTGTATAGTGTTTTCATTTGCAAATTGAATGTGAATTCTGTAGCTACACATGAAAACATTTTGTTTGCATAAAAGTGTAATATGGAAATGGATGTCCCTGAGAATGATACAACAAATGGTTGTATTCCACTCAAATTCGGCTTTGTAGGTTCCAGACATATAGACATGGAAAATGTTGAGCAAACTGCTCAGGTGTTTCCAATAATGTGGGGGGAGGGAATATGTGCTTGCCATCTACATCTACATCCCCATCCCCAATATCATGTTCCTGATACCTCTCTCCACCACCGTCCACATGTTGGGGGCTGAACATCTGCAGTGGGGAGCTGGCTCCATTCATGGATGCTTTCCATATGATTCAGAACTCTGTGTCATCAGTAGGGAAGGGTGATGCCAATTTTGATTTCAATCAGTTTCTCATTTTTTTGATCTTGTGTTCAGCTCTCCATATTTTCACATCCATGGGGGGGGGTTAAGTTCCATGAAAATCTGCTAATATTCACATTGTTCTGTGCAATATTTGCAAAGCAAATTTCTGAAATGTCATACATTCGTGGCTCTTATTTTCACTAATATGTGCATTTTTATGCACAGTTTTCACTAGTATATCTGTTTTTGTACACATTGCTTGGCTGGCGAACTGCACTGCAAAGTTCAGAGAAATACGAATTTTGACGGAAGCCTGTGTTATGGTTCTGTATTGTTTTGCAAAGTATGAATTCCATGACTTCAAGTTTAGATGTGAACAGACTTTCTCCCCATCCCTAGCGATCAGGGCTATAAATTGCATAGGAAGCCTTCACAAGTGGAGCCAGTTTCACCCCAGTGCTTAGAGTCCTAGAGCCTGGTGAGGTTAGGCCATTTGGAATGAACAAAAGAGATGGAGTAGCAAGCGCTCTCTTGCTCTCCCCTTTCATGTGATGGAAAACATATGAGTGGGGATGTCTGAATAGGGCTTTGCCCACAGACAGAAGTTGGAGATATTGCACAAAAGCCATTCTCTTTCATATGCTGTCGAGATGCCCAGCCAAACATTGTTTTTGCTTGTACATGGTCAGATCAATATGGTTCTGGACAAATTGCAATCTTCCTTCCTCATGGAAGCTGTTGCTCCATTGAGCAGCCATAACTTCTACAAAAGTTGAAGATCAGGCTTCTTGGAGAACCATATCCTGTTACAGCTTAACTTTGCAATTATGGAACACATTCAAACAAATCTCAGCATAATCCATCATTATGGATTAATCCATAATCCAGCTCAAGGGCCTTCTGGTGATTCCCTCACTGTGAGATTACAGGGAACCACACAGAGGGTCTTCTCAGTGTTGGTCCTCCTCTCTGAAATGCCCTCGCATCAGATGTCAAGGAAATAAACAACTATCTGACTTTTAGAAGACATCTGAAGGCAGCGCTGTTTAGGGAAGTTTTTAATGTTTGATGTTTTATTCTGTTTTTAATATTCTGTTGGGAATAATATTATTATTATTATTATTATTCTGACCTGCTTTCCTCAATGTTAGGCTTAGATTGGTATAATCAAGAGGGATAGTAGAGGTCACATACAAGGAAGCACAGTTCTGGAACTTGGGTCAAAGCAGGAGTGATGATGTCACATATCAGACATTCAGGTGTAATTGACACATCCCTCCTTTCCCTAGCAAAGAAATGAGTGAAAACAAGGCTGTCAGTTTTTTCTTTTGTTTGTGACAGTTTAGCATAGAAAAGGTCAGAAAATGAGGAAAATAAGCAGAGGATGAATACTTCTTTCTTTTTCTTTGATGGGGTTTCCGCTTCATGCTTGCAGTTTAATGGTAGCACTTCTTTGCAAGATGGTTTTGCTTTCTAATTGAAAACTAAAGGTTCTATTTCAGTTGGCTTAAAATCTCTTTTGGCAAATCTCAGTGTGGTTGTTTTTTAAAACCTTTAGCAGTCAGAGGTATCAGTGAACTCAATGGGACTTACTCCAAGGATACTATACATAGGATTGCAGCTTTTCTGATCTTAATAAATTCGGGTTTATGCTACCTACTGGTGAGCAAGCACTTTGGCTGGTAGGTTGCCAGTCACAATCTAATGCGTAAGAAGGCCTTAAAGGTGCCCTGAGATGATGGGCCTCCCAGATCTGATTTCCATATTCAAGGCACCTTAAGAATACATCTGAATATATGAAAATGCCACAGGCAAAAGTCATTGCCTATCATGGAGACAGAAATACTGAGGTTTGTTTTATGAATCCACCTTCCAGCATAGCTCTACACTTGGACTGCATTATAACAGAATTATTATTTGTATATTTGCAAATGAAATTATCCTCTGTATTGTTACATACATATCAGTGACAAATTGCAATGCATGACAGTGTCACTTAGAAATACATAACTACATTATGATACTGTAGGTGAAACAGATTATAGTAATCAGGTGCCAAATGCTATAATTAAAGCTGAGATTATTTTTTCCCCATTTTACAAACCCCCATTTCATTCATGCTCAATTTTTGTAAAAGAGGTGGGGGGGGAATCTCTTGTTTACCAAACTATTTGACATACATCCATGTCGGTGGATGGGAACAATTAACTCAGAGCATAATTAAAGCAATCAAAAGGGTTTAAATAGCCATGGAGTTATTATGTACCTACGTGATAATTAAATGATCAAGTGACTACACAGTAATTTCATGGTGATTTGTGCTATATACAATATTTACTATGCACAAAACAAACAATACTGTCAGTTCAAAAAGAAAGTGAAAAGCCATATGTCAACATTAAAATGTGTGCATGATATTTTTTAATGTTGATTTACTTCCACAATTATCACTTTCTCGCCACATTTTATGGCATGTTTTCACTGCCTTGCCTGTGAACAAAGTGTCATGACTGGTTTAATGAAAATGTAAACCTTTGTGTGTATATGCCACACTATAGAAAACAGTAATTGAGAATCTAAATACTTGAGGTATAAAACAAAACTGAAAGGAAAATGTTGTGACACATACCGAGAGCCTGATCCAAAACCCGAATTATGTACATCTTATGGTCTAATAAAATCTAAATGAAAAGCAAACAGATGAATGAATGACACAGCTTCATCTGATTTCCAGCTATTAAATATGGTGTAGTTCATTGCTGAGGAACCTGTGACCATTGTCTTTTGGAGGACTACAAATTCCCTCTTCCCTGACCATTAGCCTGGGGCTGGTGGGCACTACAGTCCAACAACATTTGGATGGCCACAGAGTCACCACTGCTAGTGTAGTTAATAGTCTAGAGAGTGCCCCAGTTGACCATAGAGAAGATTGGGCCAGTAATTTTTCAGTGCCGATAGGTTTTTGGATGCTATTGGCTTGTCAAACCAGATATGCAGAGCATAATTGGCACAACTCTTTAACCCTATCCTACCAACCTTTCCTACCACACTAGTAGAGCAATAGACATTTTCTTGGCTAGTGTATCCTGCCATTTGAAAAATAAATAAATAAATGAGGTATAGGGCAAAAGGTCAGGCCCCTTTAACTGGCTTGCGAGGAAGGTCTTGCTGTGAAGAGTTGAGCAGAGAATAGAGCCTGTGGTAAAGGTGGAATATAAGTGCTTCTTCAAGAAAAGCACCTGTCAGAGTCACTTAGCTTTGTAACTGGTTTCATTTTCCAGTCACTCATGCCTATGTCAGCAAGTGAGTGCCTGGGATTGGGGGGGGGCAAACAACCACAATTAAGCAAGACTGTTGGGTTCCAATATAATCCCAAACCATAGCTAAATCTAGCCATGATTTTTAAGTCAACAAAAAACCTTGGCTCCATATCATGGTTTGTTGCAAGAAAATAAATCATCATTAGTCTGTAGGACTGGGTTTGGGTATTTAGGCAAGCCACACTTTGACTAAACAAACCATGGCATAGTATTATGTGTGAGCCAGGCCTATCTGTCTTTAAAGAAGAATTTAGATCTACCACAATGATCCTCTCAATGAATAGACATCTGAATAGGGAAATTGTCCCAGCAAGCTCTCCACAGGAAATATCAGATAAGGATGCTTTAACAGAAGTCAGTCCACTTACTGGTAGGTGCTACACCTGGCCATTTCCAACAGCAAGTTGCCTCCTTCCCTGCCTATGAACCCACCTGAGATGCTGGAACTTTTGTAGTTCAGTTGCTCACTGTGGCCTAGTAAATTTAGCTCTCATTGAACTCAATTGTTCTTATTTCTGAGTAGGCATGCTTAGGGTCAAATAGTATTAGGTAAACAAACAAATTCTGCTGAACTATTCACGCTGCCTTCCACAGACACAGAAACAACATTGCCTCAAATTCAGCTACAGCACCTGGGAGAAAGTGTAGTTAGAATTAATAGCAATCTTCAAAGTATAGGGTTATCTTTAGCTTGTTACTTGATTAGATATTCCTGGATTAACTTTTTCCTTGTTTTCATTTCTTTCAGCAACCAATATTTTGATCCCGGTCCTTCATAAGAATTTGTGCACTAATCACCTACCTCTTACACCCAAGCTATTTCATCAATTGACCCCAATCTAATTACTCAGCAACCGTGTCTCTACCATTTACAAGGTCCTCCTCCCACCTCTCCCTTAGCTTGGTCCTACCAACAGACATAAATCTTTAAACACAGAAGAGGAATATCTTCAGGCTCCAGGCTCCAAACTTGAATATGATATGCATATTAAGACCTGCCTATTGTGAGGTTCATCCACCCAAGACGTTAGTCAACAGATTTTGGAGATTAGCTCTCTCTTTGGATTAAAAACTAATATGGAACTCAAATACTTAAAGATAAATCTTTAATGTTCTCCCAATGAATCATTGACCATTGTGAACTGCATGAATCTGGGCCTTTGTTTCCAATTCTGTCCCCTTGCTGCCATGCATTATGTTTGCCACTAGTGTCTCAACAATGCCACAATGCCATTCATTCATCCCAGTGGCATGTAAAGATTGATGAGGCAACACCAGCTTCGCAGTTTGTTTCCTAAGGCAACTTTTTCCAGTATCTGATCTGTAACTGCCTGATGGAAAAGATGTGCAATGCCTCATGCTGCTACTATGCAGCTTAAGAGTTTTCAAAAGTTCAGGAGTTTAAGTAAGGCTTTTGACATAGTCTCCCATAATATTCTTGTGGAGAAGCTGGTAAAATGTGGACTGGACGAGGTAACTATTACGTGGATTTTTTGCTGGATGACTGACCGAACTCAAAGAGTGCTCACTAATGGTTCCTCATCATCCTGGAAAAACGTGGCAAGTGGAGTGCCACAGGGTTCTCTCCTAGGCCCATTGTTGTTCAGCATCTTTATAAATGGGTGAAGGAATTGAGAGGATGCTCATAAAATTTGGAGACGACACCAAGCTGGAAGGGGCAGCCAATGCCACAGAAGACAGAATTGGGATTCAAGATGGCCTTGTCCAATGAACTGGGCCTAAACCAATGAAAAGATTTTCAAAATGGACAAATATAAGGTTCTACACCAGCAGGAAGAACCAGCTGCACAAATATAAGGTGGTGGACACCTGTCTTGCCAATAGTACATGTGAAAGGGATACTGGGGTCTTAGTAGACCACAAGCTTAACATGAGAACAGTGTGATGCAGCAGCAGAAAAAAAACAAACAAACAAACAAACAAAACAAACAAACAAAAAAACCCCACAAATACTATTCTAGGCTGCATCAACAGAAGTATAGTGAATTCAATGGCACTTTCTCCCAGGTAAGTATGCACTGAATTGCAGTCTAAGTGATATCTTAGAAGACAATCCCCAGGCATGCCAAACTGCCTTTGGTGTTCCACTGAATTGAAACAATAATTAAATTCAAGACCCTTTAAAGGGGAAATTGGAGCGAGTTAGAGCAGGATTGAATGGCACACTGCACACCAGTAGTCTTTCCTCTTTGAAAAAAGCTCTCATCCAGCACAATCCTATGCCATATGCTTATCTACTTTGAAGTAAGTCCCACTGAGTTCAGTGGGACCTACTCCCAGGTAGGCATGTAGAGGTTTGCAGCTGTAATCACCAAACAGCTTTCTGAACCCAAGGGACAGCAAAAGCCAATCCAGACCCCTGAAACTATCAAAGCCACCTACAGTACATCATGTTGAGTGTCAATGTGTAAAACAGAATGCCAATATTAGTTTTTTAAAAACTTTGGAAAAGAGTTAAGCTCTGTCGATAACCATAAATGTCTATGTGCCAATAGCTGTGAGTCTATCAATCTCTCTCTATACACATTTCAGACAGTATTAGTCTATTTGACAAATAAATGACAGAAAACTAATATCTTATTTTGATGTGGTGGTAGAAGCAGTGATAAATCAGCTCCTCTTGCCAAGAACATCTTTCTCCCTTAAAAGGACGATTCTATTAGACTTCCTTCTCATATGCATTACTTCCTAGAAATTTTCTCCAAGCCTGCCTTTTTATTTTGCAATGGTGGGGCTGTTCTCTAACAGGCAAGAGCTTGTTCACAATCTATCCCATAGCGCACTGCATGCTGTGTTGATACAGTCCTCAGTATGTTGCAGTAGTAGTAGGCCGTAAAGGGAAGTGAAAATAACTGATGTTCTGCTGTTAAGGTGGCCCCAGCATGTGGCCCCCAGCAGTGCTGTAGCTATGGGGGGGCTAGCCGGGGGTTTTTGCCTCAGGTGAAGCCTCCAAAGGGGTGTCGTTGAGGTTCCCAGCCCGTGTGTGTGCATGTACACAAATGTATGTGGAGGGTTGCCAAACTGTGTCATTGACCTGGGTGAAATTAAGCCTAGTTTTGCCCCTGGCTCCCAGAGGCTCACCCTAGATGGAATGTGGCTCCTGGGTTGAAAAATGGGTTCCCTGTCCTTGTAGCCTTTGCCAGAGTGACAGCTATTAGAAAGGCAACTTAGAAGCTTTGAGAACATAAAAACATACCAGGAGCCTGGTAGGTCAGGCCAATGGCCATCTAGTCCTGCATCCTGTTCTCACAGTGGCCAAACAGATGCCTGTGGGAAACCAGCAAGCAGGATTTGAGCACAAGAGCACCCTCCCCTCCTTTGGTTTCCAGGAACTGGTATTCAGAAGCATTGCTGCCTCCAACTGTGGAGGCAGATGATAGCCATCATGGCTAGTAGCCATTGATAGCCCTCTCTTCCATGAGGAGGAGGAGAATGGGAGGAGGAGGAGGAGGAGGAGAAGAGGAGGAGGAGGAGGAGGAGGAGGAGGAGGAGGAGGAGGAGTTTGGATTTGATATCCCGCTTTATCACTACCCGAAGGAGTCTCAAAGTGGCTAACATTCTCCTTTCCCTTCCTCCCCCACAACAAACACTCCAATTTTTTAAAATTGTCTTGGAAATATTATTTTCCTCCAAAAATAAATAGGATACAAATGAACATAGGCCAAGTGCAAAGTTAGACAAAACTGGGTCCCCTGCAGCTGCTAGTCCATTTCCTCTTCCTCCTGGCCAGGCAGGAAGCTGCTCAAACTCTCCCGCGGTGGCTCTGGCACGTGGGGATCGTATGTCCATCTGGGAAAGACCCGCTTGTAGAGGGTCATCAGCACTGTGTCCTGGGACACAATGGAGCTGCATTGGCAACAGAACCATGGCAAGAATGACTCCAACTGCTATCGGTAGTGAAGATAACGTGGCAGTGTATCTGGATTAAATTTAAAGCTAAAAAATGGCTTGCTTCTTTTCTGAAGTATGTGTGAAAGAAACCACATCATGTTGACATATATATAGCACTTTCCTGTGCTATGAAAATATCAGAGGGGAGGTGATTCTGGACTTTTTCTATTGTTGTGGTCTGAATGGAATTAACAGGTTTTGTTGTGTGCGTGCAATATTAGAGAAACTCCAAAGCAAACACTCTGCTTTTCTCCCCCTCTCTAATGGAACTGGAGAAATGTTTACATAGCAGCTCAAAGCTTCAGAGCAACACAAGAAAGCTAATACTTTTCAAAAAGGTGTCTGGAGACCAAAGGAAATGTTTCAACTGTCCAGCAAATGAGCCTGGTTACAGTCCCCTGACTGCTAGGGAGGTGATGATCTGATTCTTAGTACAAGCAGCAAAGTCTTTACAGTCCACCAGATTAAAGTACTGGTCAAGCCTTAGAGATCAGATATTCCCACATGAAACATAATACACCATGAAATGAGCAGAAGAGAGATGCTGAGCTTTTAACCAGCCACTCTGTGACAAGGGGGTTGAGTGTAAGCAGATGTTGCTGCTGTCTAAACAACTAAGCCCTTTGTCCATAAAGGCTCTAAGAGTTTAGATTGTAATGGACTGGTGGATAGCTTTGATTTACATGGCAAAGCCAGGGTGCTAGAAATACCCTCTTTTAAAAAAACAAAAACCTGACATACCGATAGCCATCTACTCATTTCCCTGCATCTTGCAACCTACAAGTATAGTCATTTAATTTACCTAAGAGCAAAGCAAACACTTAAGGAGCCTACTCACTAAAGGCCTGAACTGCTGTCAAAAGGTAATGGCTTAAGAGTTGGATTTTTGCCCTTAAAGCAAATGCTTTAGAGCTCGAGGATATTTGTTTGAAGCAATCTTCTCACAAGAGCCTCCTAAGTGCTGAATATTTCAAGGCACGCTCCCTGGTGCCCCTCCTCCAGCTTTCAATGCCCTTGGTTCCTTTATAGTTTTTTTTTTCCCCACTCACTGATTGGGCCTGCCATTTTAAAACGAATGCCTCTGGCATCTATTAACACTACAGTATTGACCCTGTTCGTTGAGTGCCTGGTAGCAGAGCACAGTCCTTTAAGCTCATTCTTAAGGAGTCAAATTAGCTTCCACGAGACAAGTGCAAAGTCAGAGCTTTTGGAATTCTAATGATGTGAACAAATCTAAGGACAATCCACCCCCTCTCTGCTCCCCTCTGTGATGGGGTGCCTGTACACTGAGCCACTACCAGGAAAGGAAGGTTTGTTGTGTCTTCCATATCACCATCAGCTCTTCCTTGCATCTGGATACAAGTCACTCAGTAGAGCAGGAATGGGGAACCTGTGCCATCCTCATGTTGTAGGACTCCAACTCCTATCAGCCTCACGCAGCATAGACAATGGTCCGGGGTGATGGGAGCTGAACAACATCTGGAGGGCCACCAGTTCCCCATCCCTCCACCAGGGCATGTTAGCTGGGAATATGCGTGGCAATGCATGGGCCACTTGTTCATGGCAATCGCCCGGTATTCTGCAGTAAGTATGCATGTGTGGTGGGAGTAGGGGTAATGTACTCTAGGGCCCTTGGGCTATCCCTTTGATCTCAGGCAGCTGTGTGCACATGGGGATGGCTAGAGCTCCTTTGGCTTTTGCCTAGTAGGTACATAGAACATAGAAGCAGAAGGCATTCTATTTGTTCAAAAGAAACACTCACATTTGGAGTAATGTAGAGCCTACCTGAGAATGCTGTAGGAATAAGGGGGAGGAAAGGCACAATGCTCACCTATGTAGTTTTGTAGTAGCGCACAAAAATGCTCTACTCCAGTTGTGATGCCTTCACTCCATTTCACAAGATCTTCTGCATCTAAAGAGAGGCAGTTCTACATTATGTCAGGTTTCAAGTTTGTGCAGCAAATAATAGGCTTTCACTGTAGATGGTATAGTAGCAATAGCAAATGATATTTCATTGGCATTGATACATAATACAGTCTCTTAAACAACACATCTGGATCTGAGAGTATTCCCTCTGTGCAAATGTTATGGCTCATTTACAACATACATGAAGAGAAAAATGATCACATAATTTCCCAGCAAAACAATAATGGTGTCATGATTAATCATTAAGATTGCTGTGATTGATCTAAAAGTCCCTATACCATATGTCTATCGAAATTTCTGACTACAGCAAGACAGATTCAGATTTGTTGTATGAACAAGTCACTTGAAAGAAGCATGAACCAAGCATTTCAGGTGAAAAATTCCAGGGATAATTTACATATAAATTTAGGTGTGCAATCCACAGACCTATTTGCATATGAGGCTACGGTTCTCAGTAGTGGCAGATGAAGAGATGCACAGACACAGGACACCTTGCTCTACCCTGGTTACCAATAAGAGGCTTGCTTAGCTATATGTGGGACTGCTGCCCTAAAGACTGAAGTCCTAAAAAAATATTTCCTCTAGAGCGATCCCATTAAAGTCAGTGGAATTTCATAAATTTTGGGAGAATTTGAGCCACTGCGAGGAAGAGTCATGACACGGTGGTCAAGTATACAAAAAGTTCCAGGTTCAATCCCTGGTATCTCCAGGTCGGGCTGGGAAGACACATGTCTGAAACCTTGGAGAGCCCCTTCCAATCACTGTCAACAAAACTGAGTTAGATTAACCCAGTGTTTCCCAACCTTGTGCCTCCAGCTGTTTTTGAACTACAACTCCCATCATCCCTGACTAGCAAGACCAGTGGCAAGGGATGATGGGAATTGTAGTCCAAAAACAGCTGGAGGCACAAGGTTGGGAAACACTGGATTAACCAATGGTCGTACTCAATAGAAGGAGCTTGCCATGCTTCTATGCCACTGTCTGGGAATGGCCCAGCAGCTGGAAGTCTTGGGCTGCAGTATACATTTTGTTCAGGGACTCAATATAAGGGGCCAAATCACATAATCCTGTAAGCACACAAGAGCTACTTGCCCCTCCTGTTGCCCTTGATCTTTATTCTTCCCATCCTAAGCTATCACTTTAGTTTCTCTAAAGTTGAAATCATATGATCACTTTTGTACAAAAAAAACCCCAGATAGTCCTTCAACACTCCAGATTCCTAGGCAGGGATTCCTACCCACCTACCAGAATGGCCAGCAGGGATGAGAAAGTTCAGAATCTGGTCTACCCACGAGATCCATACCTCTTGTTTCATATCTGTGCATTTCATTTTCATTAAAATCCGATTGCCTGGTGTTAAAGTATTTTCTTCAGGAACAATTTATGGTGTTGTGTAGGGATAGGCAAAATGGGTTAGAATCGCCATGTCATGTGGATTTAAGATTCATTTTCTCACTCAGTCGAATTCCTAACTAGCTTAAAGGGACTATTCTGCACTGAGCAAAAATGCTCCGAATGTTTACCTTGTTTGCTGATTCTAAAATGCTGTCAAATTCAGATGGTCTTGGTGAATTTGGAATTGTCCATGTCACAACCCACCTCAATATTTGGCAGTAAACAAATATGTTGAGTGTTGGTTTAAAATCTCCTGACTTGAATTTTCAGACAAAACAAGGTCAAAGAACAAATAATGCACCAGATAAACTAAGAGCAAAGGTCAATGGTTTCTAATGCTGGGTGATCAATATGCAAAGCTTTGGGATTTTGTTGGCATGCGGGGTGGGAGAAACGCACATCTTATAGGTCGGATATTTCCAAAGGGACCTTCTTTTAAACTATTTCTTTCAACAGACAAACACCTTCCAAACGACAAAAGCCTTGAAGTCTATGGCACAAGAGACATGCAAAAGTCATTAAGGCTTATCCCAAGAGACCTTCTGGAGTTACTTCACATTGGAGTGGGTGTAAGTCTGCTTAAAATTAAATTACCTTAAAATAAAGTTAGAGCGCTAAGCAATATCCTGCCTTCAACCCAGCAGGGTTTCCCGTGAGAAAAGAAAGTAGGCAAAGAGAGCTTAGACAGACAGACAAACATATTTACCCCTAGGTGGAAGGTACAAATTAAATTAGCTTGCCACAAAAGGGGGATGTTTTCTCCTTCTGTTCAGATGTCATGGTAGTGAGGAAACATAGTCTTGGGGCCAAGAAAAATGGCACAGATGCATTCATCTAAACTACCATTCATCCTGTTCCAAGGTCTAAACAGCACACATAAAAGAACAGCGCTGTTGAGCTACTTCCTCTCCTTAGTTACCAAGTGGGGGCTTGCACAGGAATAGGGGAGCAGAGGGTGCTGATTTTTCCAGAAGGTTTCAGCGTTGCAATGGAGAGTGATTGAAGAGGTTATCAACCTGATGAAACCTGGAGTAAGAATATCACAAATAAACCTTGATTTCGTACTTTGTGGTGAGTTTCTTTCTCTTTCCTTCTTCTTTTCTTGTTCTGTGGGGCTACAATTCAATTCTCTCTCTCTCTCTCTCTCTCTCTCTCTCTCTCTCTCTCTCTCTCTCCAGCTGAAAACAATACAAGCACTACTTCCTGAGTCAAGTATATCTTTTATTGTGCCTCATTAATATGCATGTTTTTGGCACTCAGTTGGGTTCAGCTGGTATGCTTTCCAGTATCTCATTCTTTATTTATATGAGACTGGGAGGTGTGACCTATGGAGCCAGTTGGCTGTCATGAATTGGAATATTCATTAAGCCTTGTGAATTATGCATCTGACTGCTTATAATACTGTGATCAACACTGGATGGTGCCAGAACTCTGAGCTACTTCCTGTTAGGTGGAAGGCTCTGCAGCTGGGTCAAAAAGTGCATGCGCTCCGTGCCCTTTGGAAATAAAGCTGATTGACTGTAATTCCAGCACTGGGATGCCATGGGGGTTTTGTGACTTGTGTGAGAGAAAATATTATTGGGGGCTTCTCTCTCTCTGCAACCCCAGTCAAATGGTGCTGTCTGGTATTTCAGCAATTTCCACCCCCAAAACAAAACCTTTATGCCACATTTATAGTATGTTTCCTATCACTTGGTACAGAATGTTGGACACAGCAGCAGAAATTACCTGCACCACAGAAGTGTCGAGTCTTGAGAGCCAGTTCAGTAGAGTATTGGACTAGGACTGAAATGACCTAGGTCCAAATACCCAATCGGCCAGGAAGCTCACACTGAGTGGCTTGCATCAGTAACTGTCTCTGCTGCTTGACATCATGTTTGGGGGCACATGATGGAGCCATGTTGCTGAAGCTAAGCAGGTTTGAGGCTGGGTCTTGGGTACTCTACATATGCCACCTTTGGTTTCATTATGGAAGAAAGAAGTAGAGACTTAATAATTAAAACATAATAGGAACATTTAATAATAGGGACATTTAAAAGTGACAGTACACATAATACAGAAGGCCTAGGTTCAATCCCTGCCATTTTCAATTAAAAAGGATGACATGAAAGCCCTTTCTGAGACTCAGGAGAGCTTAAAGTGCTTTCCTATTTATATATGTTTTTATTATTTTTATATGCAGTTTTTTAAACTGTTTATATATGAGTAACTTTCATATGTAAATCACTTTGAGGTGCTTCATGAGAAGTGATTTATAAATAAAATAATTGTTATTACTGTTGTTGTTGTTACCAGTCAGAATATACAATACTAGACTAGATGGGGAAATAGCTTCCTATGTTCCTGCTTCTACAGCTGTCCCTACAGTTGCATCAGGGTGAGTAACTTCAGTGTTTTATGGTTTGCTGTGTTGCAAAACAATTTGTGTGTGTGCATGTTTTCAGGTTGGGGTGGGATTGCTCACATTATTGCGCACTGAAAATGGATTTAGATGTGAGGCAGAACAATCAGATGACCACTTTGCCTTGAACATAAGAATAGGACTTCTGGATTAGGCCAGTTACTCATCCATCCAACATCCTGTTCTCACAGTAGCCAATGTACACCCACCTATAAAATTCACTCTGAATTCATCACATGCATAGAGCCAGGTGGGGTGGTATGAATCAGGCCTCAGATTGAAAAGTGGTTGGTTCCATATTTGCTGCTCTTCCTCTGCAAATAAATGTTTTTCACATAAACACTTTCCCCTCATAAATTGCTTGAGAAAATTCCACTTGTGTCAAGACTACATTCCTGTCAGCCTTGGTATGTCTATATTGCCTTTTCATTAAAAGCCACTGGTTTGTTTGTTTTTAATGTAATAAGTAAGTGAACTAGAACAGGGATATCTTTGAAATCTGCATTGTTTGAAATGTAGTGTGCTTCACTCTTAAAGAATACTTGTAGCAAAAATAAGATTTTTTTAAAAGGCTTGGCACAGGAAGATTAATGAAGGATTTTAATAGCTTTAGTAATACCAATAACCATACAAGTCTTAAAGCAGAGGCTTGCTGCCTTATGACCTATAGTCCTGAGGGTTTATAGTTCCAGGATGACCCATGCAAGCTGAAACTGTAGAATGGTCCTTTTGCATGAAAATAACTTCATATTTGGTTGAAGCAAGAACTCTTCAGAGTCAGCATTCTCAACACCAGTATGAGCAACAAACTCTCCGACATAACTGCCAAAGGTGAAGAGCGATTAAAAAAACAAAGTATGTTGAGATAAAATATGAAAAGTACAGCTTACAGCATAATCTATAGTCACATTATTGTGCTTGATGGGTCCTGTAGCCAGGCCTGGCCAAGCCATAGATGGGCTGATCTATATAAAGGTCATAGGTGAGCCCTGTGTAAAATGGCATTGTTTACAGGTTTTTTAGTAGAGAGATTAGCTGTCACTTATTTTCACATACCTAACTGAAGAGCTTTAAAGGTTCCCAGTGAGAGCATGCTCTCTTCTCTTTCTCAGCCTGTCACATCCTTGTCAGTTTCAATAAAATTACTTACCTGAATTATGCAGATGAGCTTTTGTTGTGTCCAGCACCCATCATTGTTCCTCTCCACTACAGCTGAAACTTCTAGCAGGCTTCTTGCTTTTACTGTCTGATTCTAGCACTCCTTAGGTCAAGACCTTTCAACCTCAGGGCTTGACTTATGCCACAACCATTTGACAAATCGCCCAGGCCCTCACAAAAGCTGGTTGAGCTCTAGAGTGAGTGCTCTCTATGCACCACTGTTCCTCAGTTTTGACATTTCCTTCTCACTTTGCCCTTCGGTGATTAGACAAAAGAAGAAAAAGACATTTGTGTCCAAGGAATGCTTTCATTTGAGACGTGATAAATGGGAATCCTTTCCAAGAAGTCGTGGTCTCACTCTATGGCAGAAAGTTCCTTCACAAGAATTTCAAGATGTGAAACTTGCCCTGTAAAACATACTTTTAAGCCTAAACCCTACATGAATTGTTCACTGGATCTTTTTTGGCCTTCCCCCTCGCTCCATGTTCCAAACTGTACAATAGCTTTGTAATAGACTACCTACTCGTGATAACCTGGCAAGGAACTGCTGCATCGGATGAATGAAAAGCAAACCTTTTAATAAAAATTAAGATCCCGAGAAGAGGCCTGCTGCAGTAGACCAAGGGTCAACCCATCCAACATCCTGTTCCCAGCAGTCTACAGAATGAGGCTTCAGGGGGACCCTCACGCAACGCAAGGACGCAGCTTGCTCCATAGTAGCTGGTATCCTCAGATACAAATGGGACCTGCAGCAAAATTCATGTCCACACCATATATTAAAGCACGTGGCTTCTCCCAAAGAATCCAGGGAATTGTAGTTTACTTCTCACAGCAATACTGTCCCAGCACCCTTAACAAACTACAATCTCCAGGATTCCTTGGGAGAAGCTATGTGCTTTTAATCTATGGTGTGGAAACATCATAGTGTAGAGCAAGTATCCCCAAACTCGGCCCTCCAGATGTTTTGGAACTACAACTCCCATCATCCCTGACCACTGGTCCTGCTAGCTAGGGATGATGGGAGTTGTAGTTCCAAAACATCCGGAGGGCTGAGTTTGGGGGTGCCTGGTGTAGAGTGTTCCCCTTTCATGATATTCTGTCCCAATCCCTTTGCCACCCAGTTTCCCATACCCCCCCAACTGTCAGTCAACATTCTGTGGCAGCTTAGCAGACTCAGTACTCATTGAACTATGTTTGTACTTCTGCAAACCTTTGGGACTCTAGTTGATGCCTCTCTCTTCTGCATGGGTGGTTCTGTTTTGGCTACCTAAGCAACAAAGCAGCCACAGTCCTGAACATTAAGAACAGAGAGGATGAAACCACCTCTGAACATTAAGCCTACAGCCACTGATTAACCTGTTCCCCAGACGGAAAGACCTCAAACAAGTTAAAAAGTAATAGGGGTGGTCAAAATTTATTAAAGTGATGCCATTAGTAACTTTCTTTTCAATGATGTGTCTATGAACCAAAAAGAACTTGTGAGCAGGGACTTCAGAGTAAAATGCAGTAAAGGACCCAGGAGTCTTTTCAACCCGTTTGCACTCTTGGCATGCACAATATGCATTTGCCCAGAAACACACACAAAAAGTTTATGCATCTGCTTTTTAGTCAGTCACACTCTTGCTATGGCTGATCTCTCTTTGATTTTTTCCCCTTTTGTTTTGGTGGCACAGCATTAAGTGGAGTGTTGCCAAATCAAATCACCAAATAACCCAAATTACTTTTATGAACCACTAGCACATCCTACAAAGGAACTCTACAAAGCTCACCCAAGAACCAGTTTTTATGCATGACAAATAAATCCCTCCAAACTAAGGAACTGCATCAGGACCAACACACAGCGCACACACAATTGCTTAATAATTCATTACAGGCAAGATTCTTTGCCAGATTCTTCTGGTTTTAAACACTACAGTCCCCTGATACCTTTAAAAACTTTTTCTTGCACTTACACACTGGTGAAAAAGGGGTTGCTGTTGAACTGAGAAAGTTTTGTCTTCTCTTTCTGCCCATCTTTGCTTTTCCTCTACAAACTGTGTGAACAGAACGGGGAAATATAGGGTTATTTGTCAAACCACAAATGAATTCTTTTAATTTGTCGTGCTTTATAGGCTTTACAAGAACAAGGGTGTCTTTAGAAGTTTTGCATAGGTATGCATTAGACTAACATCCTGATGCCTGCAATAAGGCACCCGTAGGCCAAATATCCTGGATGCATTCCACTTAGCAGTTCCTTTCCACTGCACACAAATGCATTCAGTGGGGAGAAGGAAACCATGGGAACTCAATTGGTCAAACTTTAACTAATATACTATATAGTTAGATGATTGTTTCAGTTAACTGGCAAGAGCCAAGCTACGTGTCCGAACATGCAGGAAATACACACACTGCATAATAAATTTACAACCTGAAGGCAACATCCTGAAGTCCATTCCCAGGCCAACTTAACAGGGATGCCTGCAGAGGTTCTACTTGAAGAAGCCTCTTGTTTTCTGTCTCAATTGTTTGTAATTAGGGGTAGAAGGAACTGTAAGTTTTGGTCGTCTCTGTTTCTCTTTTTTTCAGGTTTCTGAAGCAATTTGCAAAAATAAAAAAAAATTGCACAAATTTCTTCTAAGAAGCACATTTTTGCCTGCAGTTTTGGCTAATGTCAGGGCCGGTCCCAGACGTTTTGGCACCAGAACCGAATTTGAAATTGGCAGGGGTGACCCTCTGCCCATTGTGGTTTGTTAAGGGTGTTTTTTTGAGGATCTTTACACACACACATCACAATGTTGATCTTTGCTCCCCCTTTCTTTCCAATGCTGATCTTCACTCCTCTTTTTCCCCATGCTGATCTTTGCTCCCCTCTTGTTTCTGATGCTGATCTTCATTCTCTCTTGTCACTGCATTTCTCTCTTCCCTGACAGAGGAAAACACAGTGGCTGTGAACCAACCCTCTTCCCCAACCTGGTGTTCTCTAGATCTTTTGGACTACAACTCCAATCAGCCTCTGCCAGCATGGCATTTTGGATGTCTCCCAAAATGAAGAAGATAAGTTAGGCATCTTGCCTCACACTTCATCCAGTTTTTAAAGAAGAGGTGAAACCAAGGCGTGTCTACCGGGGGGGGTCTACATTCCTACCCTACTTGTCAGATAAGGAAACAAATAGATAAAGTATATGCTGAAACTGCTAAAACACCAGCCTCCCACTGAAGTAGGGCTAAAGCAAATAGAAGGTACTCCAAAACAACCTGACATGGTGTCCGAGAATTAATGAACTGTTGGGAAATATAACATATACCATGCAGATTAGGAGTCTAGTTCATTAAAACAGCCAGATACAGACTTGGGAGGATCAGTAAGGAGTAAGGCAAGTTTTCTGGGTAGGGCCCCAGGTAAGTCCCATCCTGCATAATTGATCACATGGTGTAGTGTACACACACCATTTGAATGGCAATGCCCATCAACTGGGGCATTTTGCCCCCGGAAATATTTTAGGGGGAGCAAAGACCCTTGAACCCCTAGGAGTTGGGTCCTATGTTTCTGGATATTTTTGTGTTGCGGAAAACAAAATGGCATCTCTAACTACCGTAGGTGGTACAGTTGGAAGACTAAAGATCATGGGAAGGGCTATAGCACAGAGATAAACAAGACAAGGCCATGAAGAACTTTAAAGAAAAGTTGAAAGCATTTGTGCTGGATACAGAATTGACACAAGAGCTAGCCCCATCCCATAATCTTCTGGGTGGAGAGTATTGGTGACCAGCAGCTGGCTGCCAATGTTCTCTCCTGCTCTCTCTTGCTCTGCAGTTGTCCTCATGTGGAAAAAATGAAATGGCCAAAGGCAATGAAACCACAAGGGCCCATAGCTGAGGAGCATCACTTGTTCTGCATTATACAGAGATGTGGATTATTTTGATAACAGAGTTCTGGATAAAGTTGAGAGGACTGAAGCATAACAATGGGCAGGCAAAAGAGACAAAAGTTACAGACATCAACGCGAGTGTCAACCACAGCATGAACCAGAGTTTTAGCCAAGGGAAAGAGAGATAAAAAGAGCGGGAAGGTTACCACCAAGTAGCGTGACTTGGTGACAAGTTAAACACGGCGTGCAAAATAGAGGGGGGAATCAATGCTAATGCCAAGGCTTCATGTCCAGTCATCAGGATGGGTGACGGAGACAAAAGGCTCAAATGAGGGAAGAAGGCGTAGGAAGAAAACTGAGCAGAACATGTCACATTTGAGAAGTCAATGAGATGCCTACATACAAATGTCAGTTGAGTGAACACATGTGTGGAAGTCTGTGCAGACATGACATGAAAAGTTGAAAGTTTTCACCATATAAGTGGTACTGAAAGTGACAGGATTGTATGAGGCTGCCTAGAGAAAATAGAAGGTGACAAAGAACAGGTGGCAAAGAACAGGGCCATGATTAAACTGAACAAAGAGGAAAGACTGTGGAGGTTTCTCCTGTGATAACACTATCTCTAGTGATATCGCACCAAAGGATGATCAACAAATTAAAATCATACAGCAGCTACCACAATGAATTTCACTTCTTTCAACAGGCATGAAAACAATCATCAAGAAATCCACCAAGAAAGCTATTTTCAAGTAGTCCATAGGGTGGGGTGGGGGGAACTGGGGAGCTCCTGGCATAGGCTACAAATGAAAGTCCATATAGTTCTTATAATATTCAGAAATCTTCATGGAACAAGAGGATTCCATCAGTGGATGCAACAGAAGTGGCGAGGTGGGTAGATTTTGTGAGAGCACAAGACAGCTTGCTTATCTTGCTTGAACCTAAGTCAAATGGCAAACAAACTTCTCACAATAGCAATAATGTGTGTCTGCTCACTATATAGAAGTTTTTACTCATCTTTCAGTTTATTGCAAGTGAAATGTGATACCACTGAATTAAGCACACAAAAACGGAGTAATTTGCATCTCAAATAAGCGACGCTGTTAATTTTTACACAAAGTTTAGCATGAAAAAAATACAGTATGTGCAAAAACACCGGGAATATACATGTTAAATAGGGTTCTGACAAAAAAAGAGTTCCACACTAATTGCTGTACCCGCCGTACCCACTTATGCCGTCACCCCTCTTATTCTAGTAATAGAAGCTGAAGATTGCCAGCCATTAAACACTGTTAGCAGCTGTGGCTAATGCAAAAAGCATTTTTATTAGTTACACTCAAGTCCCATCAAATCTTTAATTTGTATTGCTGGTTTTCTCCCCTTTGATCTCACGCTGCATTTCTGAGGGAGGGGTGGTAAAGAAGAGCAGAAAGAAGCAACAATATATATATATTAGGAAGAGTAAATGTGAATTGAAGAGTGGGGGGTGAGAAAATTGAAACTGGCTGAAATAAGGAGAATTCAAAATAATAAGTGAAAATTTTAGATTGCTTCCAGATTGGGCGGGGGGGGGGTCCTTAACACTGCAAATGGATCATGAGCAGCAGTAGCCCCACTCCTGAAGGGTTTGGATCTGGCATATTTAACGCCAGCTTAATTCAAGATGTCATAGATTGCACTAGCTTTCCACACTTATGATTTCTTCCTAAAAGTCTTATCCAGGTGAGCTGATGCATAAATTTATTAGGACAGTAGTGCTTGGAGATCATTTATACAACATTCCCTAAACCAAACTTGATTTGTGCAAGGACAGGGCAGTGCCTAGCTTGCATACCTGTGCCTGCCGAATAAAGAAAGGCTCCATGAGAATTATTAGTATTATTTATAAGATTTATATACCACCCTTCATCATAAGGGCAGTTCAAGTTCACAGAATAAAATAAAAGTAAATAAGTAAAACAAAACAGCAAAACAATATTGGCCGCCGCCCCTTCGCACTGACACATTTAAAAGGCTGTAGAATATTAATCAGCCAAAGGTCTGGTTGCAGAAGAACCTTATCGTCTGGCACCTTAAAATATATAACGAAGGCAGCAGGCAAACCTCTCTGGGGAGAGCATTGCACAAATGGGGAGCCACTACAGGTAAGGCCCATTCTCGTGTTGCCACCCTCCGGACCTCATGAGGAGGCACACAAAGAAGGGCCTCAGATGATGAACACAGGGTCCAGGACATTTTATATGGGAAGAGATGGTCCTTGAGGAATTCTGGTCCTGAGCTGTTTTAAGTCTTTATAGGTCAAAACCAGCACTTTTAATTGGTCCTAAATTAAATTGGTCTTGACTAATTGGCAGTCAGTGCAGTTGGGCCAGGATTGATGTAATAGTTGTGGGTGTGTAATTTTGTGTGGATCTTAGTTTAGAGCAGTGGTGGCCAAACTTGGCCCTCCAGAAGTTTTGGGACTACAGTTCCCATCATCCCTGACCACTGGTCCTGTTAGCTAGGGATGATGGGAACTGTAGTCCCAAAACAGCTGGAGGGCCAAGTTTGGCCATCACTGGTTTAGAGCCAATGCTTCGTTTGTCCGTACAGCCAGGCTGCTGGGTGGAACTCAATAGCCTTCTGAATCTGAGATGTGGGCACTCAGCATAGAGGAGCACAGCTCATCAGTAGCTGTGAGCCTTTGACTAAGAAGCAAATATCATTGATTTCATCGGAATGCACTTCCTTTCCAGCAAAAATGATTACTATCGGTGGCTGGGCAAATCTTTGGCTGATTTGCTGTGAGCAGGGCCCTGTGTATGACGCTCTTGTGTTTAAAAGAATTTCCTTCATGTGCCTTTACAATTTTCTCATGGTTTTGTCCTGGGAAATTTCTGTAAGAGGAAGCAGAAACATTTAAATGGCACAGGCTGGGATTTATAAACTGCCTTTTGAAGAAAGCTGAGAGAACTTCCATTTCCACAATAGCTCGTGAGAGTGGTGATGACGAAGCCCAGCTCATAACAACGTGCTTAGCTCACTTCTCTTGCCCTCCTAGTTATTCATTTCGTTTTCCCATCATTGGAAAAGAGTCCTATTGCGGCTAACAGCCTGAGCCCAACAATCTGTGAAATCTCCAGCAAGGAAAATGAGCAGCTTGCACCACTGCAAGTTCACAGCAGCGTCCTGTCACAGAGCCATCCTCTAAGAGGAAACATTCTTTGCTTTAAAGAAGACTCCCCCAACCTGGGGCTCTTCAGATGTTTTAGACTACAATACCCAGCACCCAAGTGGGGAAAAGCTGTTGATAACCAAGGCAAGGATCAGGGTTTGTGCAGCCTTCAGAAGCCCATCGGGTGCTGATTAAGTAGATTAAGTAGATGGGATTGCCCCCTCACACACAATCCTCACACACTAAGGTGGGAATAAAAACCCTTATTTGGCCACTTTTAATCTTATGGGGACAAGAAGGAAAAAGGGCTGCCAGAGTAATACACCAACACTAGGACTACGACTGAGTTCTGTCAATGGCAGAGGTATGTCCCTTAGTTCGGCAGTTTTCAGACTAAATCTGAGTGCTATGGTATGGAAAAAAATTAAAAGGCTTTTTACTGGTGCTTCCCCCACCCTTAGGCAGTTAAACTGTATATAAAATGGCCAGTGTAATGGGATGACGTTGTCTTAAAATAAAGCCACCCAAACCATTTTTTAAAAATCACTTTTGCAATTTTCATTATGTTGTATATTATATGTTCTGTCAACGGTACAATGCAATACTGTGCAATCATGACAATTCTTCGTAAATGCAGAGGTCATCAAGTAAAAGCCCCACTGCATTCACTCATGATGGATCAGGGCCAAAAACAGCTGAATAAAGCTACAGAAGAAACATATTCTGAAGATGGGAAAGAACTACTTTGAATGACCTAGTAGTTTGCGTCCTTTTGTAGCTAAAAAGGTATTAATACAAATTAGGAAAAATGTGTATCATCACTACTGTTATTGCTAGCCGTTACTTTTTCCTTTATTTTATTTGGCATGCAGAAATGTCAGGATATTAAAGCTCTTCATATGGAGACAAAAGACCTTATATTGACACTTTTTGTAATCCCCTTAACACCCACCATGTCTCTTGGAATTCTGGTTAACACACACACCCTCCCACAAAATGACAGCGCTGCTTTTTATTTAAAATCCCCCCTCTGTTTAGTATTTACAACTACATTAATATAAAAACTATAAAAGCAAGACCAGCTCTGCAATGAGGCAGAGTAAGGCAGCTGCCTTAGGCGGCAGATGCTGAGGTGCAGGGAGGGGCCAGAGCTGTGAGTGACATGTGGTTTGCCCTGTACCCTCTACACTAGCCTGCTGCCTTCAAGCACAGTGGTAGATACTGTACTTTCACCAATATTGGACTAAGATTCAGCTTCTGTATGTGCCTTGGGGGAGGGCGCCATCTAGTCCTTTGCCTCAGGCAGCAAAATGTCTTGAGCCTGCCCTGTACAAAAGGACTTAAAAATCTTCCAGTTCCATTAAAGCAATTAGAAGACATATAAATGGACATATAACCTTGCTGTGATTTACATTGGATAAATCACTGCCAGATTAAAGTTGAATCAATACTGAGGAGTATCTCTCCCCAAATAGCCTTATGATATTTGGACAAGGTTATTCTCTGCGTACCACTGTCTCTGATGCACATTATGCGGTGATGTGAGAAAGGACCTTTACTGTAGCGGCTCCCCATCTGTTAAATGCTCTCCCCTTGGAAGCACACTTGGTACAAACATTGTCAAATACAGACTTACCTACCTGCCTAATCAGAGTTTTAGTGTAGCACCAACAGCCTGCTGTTATTTTACCTGCTCTTGTTGTGAACTCGGGCATTTAATGTCGCCAGTCTCATTGCCGTGGAAAATTCTTCCAACAGAGATTGGAGGAATCTCGCTTCTGACTCTCAGGCATCCGTAGAATAATTTTTCATGTCAATGGGCCCATGTAATCATTTAAACGAATAGCCAGTCATTTTAATTATGGTTGTGTATTGCTTTAAATGGTTTTTACATTACTGTACACTCCTGGTTTTTAATGACCGGGGGGAATATATAAATATTTTGATAAAAATACTCCAGCTTTATAGCTATTTTTATGTTAATTTGTGGGATCTGTATCTTGTACCCCAACCTGGGTTCTGAGAATGAAGGGTGGGGGTTATAAGTATTCTTAATACACAAGCAAATAAAGTATAAATCAAGGCCATTTCTCTCCAGCAGACTTTCTTTGCTTCTTTTATTTTGTCTCCTCAGTCAGTTTTGATCTGTGTTTTCCCGTACATCTGCTGTCTAGTCCAAGAATGCTCCAGGTCCTCCCACCCGTCTTCTGCAGAAGCAGTTCTGCAGAATGTGGCAGGCTGTAGAGTCAAAACGCTGTGCAATGTGAAGTGAAACAGCTGCCTGTAATCACTTGCACAAGCGAAGACTTCGGGGCTTTGGTTTCAGTCCTCATCTGCCTGGAATCTTGCATTTCCTGTGTCCAGATCAAGTGTCAGAGACAATGCAGATGCCGTACTCCTGGTTTCATTGCGCCGGGCCTTCTCTTTCATAAGTGCTCTGCACACTTTTTAAGTTGATAGTGTTTTTGGGAGCCTTTGCTCAAAGTCAAGTTAAGTGTCATCCCTTCAGAAAGAGGTATGTGTATGCACAATGCATGCTTTGGAGCCATTTCTCCAGCCAAAGGGAGGGGGTGATTAATGGAGAAGTTACATTGCTCACCAATAGGGAGGAACAAGCCCCTCGGAATGTCAAGTACATACAGCTGCTTGCAGCAAAGAGAATTTCATTCACCTCATTTCCTTAATGCACCTTGACCGTCACCTAATGAGAACATCCGTCTCTCACAATTCTATTGTATACTTCACTTAGCTGGGCTTGCTTTATTGAACTGTCACTGAACTGAACAGTCAGTCCTTTGCCGGCACAGACACCTTGGCACATAAGACTGCAAGGGGAGACAACAAACACGGGATGTTATGTCCCCAGGCAGTTCTCTCTGAGGACAAGGATTAGCTACATAGATGACAAGAAATCCTCGCTTCCTTTCAAGTCCCATAACATGGTTTGGAACATAATGATTTTATACTCCAGAAGTAGGTGAGACAACAGGAGAATGAACATAAACCAAAGATCAGGAATCTACTTTGTCCCATGGTGTGTGGCTTGGGTCACTTGCTTGAGCCACCTGAAGTTGTGTGTGGTCCTGCGCAGTTATAGACTGCATTATTTGTTTATTTCCTGTACCTCTTAACACATCAGGAGCCAAACAGGATGTTTAATCCAAGGTAACCACCTCAGAGAGGGACACGGGTGGTGCTGTGGGTTAAACCACAGAGCCTAGGACTTGCCGATCAGAAGGTCGGCGGTTCAAATCCCCGCAACGGGGTGAGCTCCTGTTGCTCGGTCCCTGCTCCTGCCAACCTAGCAGTTCGAAAGCACCTCAAAGTGCAAGTAGATAAATAGGTACTGCTCCGGCGGGAAGGTAAATGGCGTTTCCGTGCGCTGCTCTGGTTCGCCAGAAGCAGCTTAGTCATGCTGGCCACATGACCTGGAAGCTGTACGCCGGCTCCCTCGGCCAATAAAGCGAGATGAGTGCCGCAACCCCAGAGTCGGCCACAACTGGACCGAATGGTCAGGGGTCCCTTTACCTTTACCCACCACAGACAGCAGGTGGAGAAAGCAAATTAAAGTGAACTTGCACCTCTTAGCAGGGCTCCCAAAAGGGCAGAATAAGGGAAGTGGCACAGTGGGATGAGAAAACTCTAGGCCATGCCATTTAACTGCCACAGGGTGCAATTTGAGGCACCTGTGGCTGGTTATAGAGCACCTGGCATGGAGCCTAGTGACAAAGGGTGGAGACCTAGCAGCCACTGGGCCAGCCGGGAGTCAATGATCTCACCTCAACTAGTGTCAGGAGCCACAGGAGTAGGTCAGTACTAAAAAAAAACCCACCAGTGTCAGTGAAGCTAACTGTACAGCCCATCCATGACAGCAGGGGCGCTGTGCCCCAAGTGTCTTCCCAGAGGGGGGTGACAGAATCCCCATTGGTGGATCGCTGCCACACCAATCACACCCCAGGCGGATCGCCGCCACAATGATCACCAGGTGCACAGCATGTGTACCGCTCCAGGTGCCCGAGCGGCTAGCTCCACTGCTGCATGACAGCAATGCTGGCTGGAAGGAGCAGAGCTGGAAACAGCAGAACTGGAATAACAACAATGAGTGACCAGCATGACTACACTTTTGCTACAGCTGAGGTGTGCCAAATGAGGCAGTCAGGCTCCTCCACCTTTGAATCTTGGGTGTAGCTCCATAGCCAGGTCTGCGTATCTCTGCCCAGTATGCAAACATGCACCAAACAGGCCCAACTTGGGGGGAGGAGGGAGGGAGGGAGGGAGGGAGGGAGGG